CCCGCCCGCCCGCCTGCCCGCCGGCTCCCGCCCCCTCGGGCGCTCGCCTCCCCCTCTCCGCGGGCTCTGGGCCTCGCGGCCGCGCGGAGCCGCGTAGGGATACTCCGGCGGGAGCTCGCTGCGCCGCGGCCCTTCTCTGCGCGCCCCCCCACCCCACCCCCGACTACCTCCACTCCACCCCTGCCACCCCGCCGGTCTGCTCAACCGAAATCTCCCTCTTAGGGTAGATCTCTCCCATTTTCGGCTTCCTTCTCACTGTATTGAGACATTTTCGTTTGAGCGTCAATATTTGTCCTTATTGATTAAAGTTTGTATCCAGTTTTATTTTTAAAAGTGGGGGCGGTGGTGGCGGCGGCGGCGGAGAGAAGTGGGTGGGAGAGGGCAGGAAATGGAGGAGGAAGAGGCGAGGCACTACTCGGCGGGGTCGGCCTTGCAGGCCCGGGTCCGGCATTTCTGAGCCCGTAGGAAAGCCGTGCGTGCCGTAGGTAAAGCTCCTACGAGGCTTCGGAAGGTCGGGGAGGAAAGGCCCACCTCGGGCGCGGAGCGGGTTGGGGGTGGGGGTGGTGTCCTAAACCTTGAGGGAGGAGGGCCCGGGAGAGGTTTGGAAACGAAGAGATGAGGAGGAAGTGGGCTGGCGAGCGCGGGGCCAAACGGGGGTTACTTACTCGATTCCTGCGGCTCGGCCGGCGGCGAGCTCGGAGCTCGGGCGCCGCCGGGAAGCCGGGCCTGGGGCTCCAGGCGCTGCGGCGGCGGCGGTAGCGGCGGGCGAGGGCGGCTCAGTAGTGGGTGCCTATGATGGCCTTCCGAAATAAGGGGTGCTCAGAGAGAAAACAATACCAAACAATCTCGAAATAAACCAGGGAATACATGCTCTGTCTGTGCGTTCTCTTCCTTCCCCTTCTCTCCGGCTCCAGACCTTCGCTCACGCTCTGGGCGACTCGGTGCCGTTTTCTCCTCGCCGCTCCGGCGTCTTCTCAGCTTCTAATCCGAATTGGAAGCGAGTAGCCGCGAGCGATCACCCTGGAAATGTTTTCATTTTGATTGTTGACATTGGAAGGGGGGGAAAAAAAAGGGTGGGCGTCTATTTCTTTCCGGTGTTTTTTTTTTTTTTTAAGCCTTCCTATTTTCACTCCCTCTTTTCTTTTTCGTTCCGTTTCTCAAATGTTTTTAATTTGTGCGGGCCTTAATCCTGAAATAACCTCATGCTTCAGCCAGCCCTTTCCCATCCTGAATGCTGCTGGAGGGCACCCAGGAGCCTTGGGAACGTGCGTCCCACAATTCCAGCTTCTTGGGCTTTAGGACTGGAAGGTTCGACTGAGGGTTGAAGTGAGTGGGGAGATTGTGATTCGAGGGCTTTAAAGGGATCCCGTGGCCAGGGGCAGGGCTAAGGCCCAGCATTTCCCAGGGATTGGAATTTGGTGCGGAGCACACTGATTCAAAGGCTGTTTCATCCCACATGGGCACGAAACGTAGCACATTTTACGGAGGATGAAGCCTGAGAGAAGAGGGAGGTGGAGGAGAAGCATACATGAAAAGCACCTTTACCTCTGTAAGGTAAATAATCACAGAATGTAAACCTTTCTTCACTTTGATAAACTCTCAAATTATCTGACAGATTTGGTTATTTACAAAAACGAAGAAAAAAGCGGTGCCTATTTGTGCTGTTAAAAGTTCGGTTCTAATATTTAAAAATGCAATTGATGAATACTCAGGTTGACAGCTATTCTACTCTCCCCATCCCACCCCACCTTGAAATTATGAGAAAGAATAAATGCTGAAGGGAATAAGACAATTACAAATAACTGATGATTTTTAAATTTGTATCTATGAGGAATGGCAATAAAGGAGCTTTGAACATTAAACTAACCTCAGCTATCCATTCACTGTATGTATGTGTGCGTGGGTTCCCCCTATGTCTACATAATTCCTTACTTTAAAATAAACTGTATTTACATGTGGGGAAATTCAAAGGTCCTAGCGATCTCCGTTGATGGTGACAGGGCCCCAAACTCTTGACTTCTAAGCTCCAGATTTCTCACAGAGCCCGGTGAGCTAATGGGCTTTGCGGGCCCGGCTGGAGAGATCTGTGGGCCTTCCTCTTTCGGCTCACTTTTCCTCCTCCCACCCTTCTCCCCGCCCCAAGCCACACGAGGGCTCCCTCCGAGGTGGACGGCCCGGTACGTTTTCGTAGTCGCTCTAGCGTGAAATGATTCGGTGTAACCGGATTCTTGGGAAAGGACAGGTTACGTAAACATTTACTGATGTGGAGTAACTATACTATTTGTACTCAGATATGCAGGAAGGAAAGTGTTGATTAACACAGAAGAAAAAAAAAAGCGAAATTAGCTGATTGCATGCTCATAAGTGCAAGCTGTCATTGAACTGCTTTTAAAATAGACACAGCTGGGTGTTTGTGTTGAAAAATTTCTTGTGTTTTTGCTAATACTGAAATAAGCATGATTTTGTATACCAAACATTTTCAGATCATTAAAATTTGTAATCTGTGCTGGTTTTAAACACAAAGAAAAGAAACAGAATCATTTCGATGTAAAATTTGCTGATATTATATTAACTCAATCAGGTCGGTACAAATTGTGCATTGTGCCTGGTAAAATCTGTTTGATCAATTTAATACACAAAGTGCCAAACGTGGGTATTGTTTGTTAACATTGGACATTTTATTCAAATCCGAGCGCAGCAGCAAACTGGAGGAGCCTTCCTTGAATACAACACTAGCACTGACTGATGAATTTTTAATGTTTTAAGGTGTTTCTTAGGTCAAAGCTGAGTGTTCATTGTTTTGTAATCCTGCATACAATTTTAGCAGGTGAAAATAAGTTTTTCTTCTGTTTACTTTCAAATAGCAAAAACTGGGGTCTGCTAATGAGAGCCGGATTAATCTGATTTTATGTGCTAGGAGCATATATTGACTGGGAAAATGTTTTGCATGCAGATTTAAAATGTGTTATATTATTTCAAGGGTTGCATGGGTGCAAGTCTTAAAATAAGATATTTGTGGTAGGAATAAATAGATTATAGTTTAATATAATCATATTAAAGATATTCTTCCTAATGACAAAGGTTATTTGCAGTGGGGGGGTGAGCTTTAATTCCTTCTAATAATTTTAATTAGACTTAATGATGAGATAGAATGATTTATATATATGTACATCTATATTATATATATGGGCTTGTTCAACAAAACATGCACTGTTTACTCAGCAGCCCACATTTGTCTCAGCAATGGCTTCTTTTTAGAACTGCTACTAGATGAAATGGAGGGGGAGGGGGTTCTTGGACAGAGTATTGTTCAAGTTGAAAGTCCCTGGATAGAGCTTTGTATATCCTACCGGCCAATTTGGGTGCAAATTGGATTTGAAGGACTGCCCACATCCACCTCAGGCCTCTTTCCTCAACACATGAAACCCTAACTCTGTATTTCCACCTCATTCAGTCTCTCTGTTACCTTCAAAGGACAGAAGGCATCTGGTGGTCTCTGATCTGAAAAAAATTCTCTATCACTTTAATATTGTATCATCATCAGCTTAATCTTGAGCTCTCATACACATGGATCTATAAATGTACAGTGTTAACGTCAAAGCCTAAGTTAGAGCAAATGTAATTTTCTGGCATATACAGTGGCAAACTTCTCTGTCTGCCCCCCACCCCCAATCCCCCTAAATGAGGACAGGCCTTGTAAAGAGTGAGCAGATCCAAGGGAAGAATTCCTTGGGAAATGAATTAGATTATTCCATCTCTAGTTTTAATTAAATAGCCAAGGCTCCACGGCCAACTTGCAGGGAGCAGCACGTTTGGTTTTTCCATTTGGTGGGGTTACCTTGAGTCTTCCTTAGGGCCTGTTTCGTGCTTTGGTCGTTGCTTTGCTTCTTTTTCCCTTGTTACCTGCTGGTTAAAGGAGGGCGAGCCATCTTTACCTAAAATCCACCCTGCTCTGGGCTCCCTGGATAGGGTGTTCTTGGAGCAGCGCCCAGCGCCAAGCTCTGGATAAAGCTGTCTTCCTGCAGATGCAAGGGGAGTCTCTGGCCCGCTGACGTTTGGGAGTGAGCGGAACCCTTACTTACGGAGGCATCCAGGTATTTCCAGAGATCCCATGACTATTGAGGTCTGCTCTCGCTCAAGCCAACTCGTCTGTAATCCCTTCCTAACAGCAGGTAATGGTGCTAACATTTAGTGATTATAAGTTACTCTTTAGCGTGTTGTATTCTTGTTCTGTGGGTTTTGGTTACAGGTTATATGATTAGGTTTGCGAGAACAGTAGTGAACTAAACTTCTCAGTGAGAGGTCTTCACACCAGGGAAGTGTTACTTTTCTGCAGCAGCCCTGCCTCATCACTCATTAGGGAGCTGCAGGTTGTCAAGCGGCTGCTCTTAGAGAGCGCGCGCACCCTGAATATCCCCAGGGGCGCGCACATGCGCGCGTGCACATACACGCGCGTGTACAACACACACACACACACACACACACACCCCTCACTAAAACTAAATTAAGAAGCCGATGATTAAGACAAGCGTCTACTAGGCCTGTCATTTCAGCATCCTTCCATCATAACATTGTGGCACCGGCAATTTTGCTTGAGAACCTTGAGAAAAAAAAAAAATCCATGGGAGAGCCTCGTATTTGAGCGTCGAGATGCTTAACTTGTAAAAGCTAGGGAAACACTTCGGAAGCAAGAAAGTCCAAAGTTAAAAAAATTAAAAAGCAGAGAAGCAAGAGGAGGTCTGGATAGAGACCCTGGGACTCCTCAGGCAGGTTTCTGTGACTCTGCCAGACAGCTTCCACGCTCTCTGAAGGCAAGCACGTACTCATCCAAAGGAATCATCTTGGGACCTGCAACAAAATACACTCCGGAGAAGCTTCTTCCCATTGCTAACCCTGCAGACTGCCAGGTATGGAGAAATCCATTAGGAAATATCACCACCCTAACATCAAAGGACCTTGAAAAAGCCTCTCTGAACAACCTTTCAGTGGAACAATCTGCACAGATCTTGTAAATATAAAATGCCCACTAGACCTTTACTTGTTCCCTGTTATTTGCCAGCGTGCTTGGGATCTCTGATTGTGGACAATCTGCAGAGGGAGTTGAGTCCTGCTAGTGGTGAGGGCAGGCCTGTTCCATTTTTTTGACCTGATCCAGTTGGGAGACTAAGTCCCACACCTTTTGGGCAATCGTGCCCTGAGAGGCCAGTTTCTTTTTTTCTTCTAGTTTCCCTAGGAAGA